GTGGCCTCACCTCAAGTCCTGTGTGCAGTTTTGGGCACCACAATATAAAAAAGACATTAAGCTATTAGAGAGTGTCCAAAGGAGAGCAATGAGGATGGTGAAGGGTCTGGAAGAGAAGCTGTATGAGGAGTGCCTGGAATTGATTGCTCTGTTCAGCCTGGAGGAGAGGGGATTGAGGGGAGAGACCCTATTATGGTCTTCAACATCCTCAGGAGGGGAAGTGGAGGGGCAGGGACTGATTACCTCACTCTCTTGAACAGTGACAAGGCTGGAGGGAACAGCATGAAGCTGAGTCATGGAAGTTTAGGTTGGATGGCAGGAAAATTTTCACCCAGAGGGCTGGGCACTAGAACAAGCTCCCCAGAAAAGTTCCAGCCCCAAGCCTGACAGAATTTGAGAAGTGTTTGGACAATGCTTTCAGGCACATGGTGGGACGCCTGGGCTGTCCTGCATAGGACCAGGACTTGATGATCCTAACAGGTCCCTTCCAGCTCAGCATATTCTGTGATTCCATGGCTCTAAGGTTCTTCTGTCTGGTGCTACTTGCTGAGCATGAAGCCATATGGTATGGGACACTCCTTTGGTCAGCTGTTGTCCACTATCCCATCCCAGCTTCCTGTGCACTCCAGCCTTCTCACTGGTAGGACAGCAGGAGAAGCAGAAAAACCCTTGATGTTGTGTAATCACTACTCAGCAATAGCTAAAATATCCCTGTTATCAACACCATTTTCATCATAAATATATCACCACATGAGCTGCTATGAAGACAATTAACTCTATCCTAGCCCAAACCAACGTACTCAACTAAGGAACTTGAATTTTGTGTATTGACTAAAAAGTGCCCCAGATCTCTTTCTACACTGGTCATAGTAATGATCCATAACAAGTAAGAAAAGCAGGAATGCTAAGTTGATGTGTTTCAAGGAGGGAAGCAGGAACTTCCATTCAGATCACATAAGAAGGTGAAAGGTGGACTTTGGCACACACTTGCTCTTCCTGCAGTAGCTCTGACTGCTTGGTGATATTAGTTTTCAACACAATGCTCTTTCACAAAACCTGCACTTGGTCAAGCATGTGCTTCCTAGGATAATAAGAATAAACCATCTCTTTTGGCTTATTGAAGTGCATATTGAAGGCAGAGTTATTGAGGTTCACCCACAGGCAGAACACTTGGACATCAATCTTTATTCTCAATTCTGGCATTGGCAATGTGGTTCCTCAGGGCTTCTTTTTACCCTTCTCCATGGTGAGTGCAATCATAACTTAGCCATCTCAGATCTTGAGATTTCAAAGTGTAACTAAGGAATCTTTATTCTCACTGGTCACTGAACTAGGTGAGATCAAATATTAGACTGAAATATAGAATAGAGTACAAAATAACACTCATTACTTTCTCCATGGCACTCAGTTTCCTTTTTAGACTTGATGTCTAAAATATACTGGACAGATAATTTTTCTAGCAGTGCTAACTATAGATGAGTAATTCTGATGGTCTTTAAAAATAGCTCAGGCAATAAACTTCCTATCTACACAACTAATGCACTTACAACCACCACATCTTGAAATTCTCTGGTTTCTTTTAAGGGGTCTCTATTCCAGCATTTGAAGTTTACTAGGACAATAAATATGGCAACACTGCCATTTCTGATGGGGTGAGGAGCTCAGGACTGATTAGTGTTAATTTACTCTCAGAGGTGGTTTGAATTTTGACAAAAATTGTGGTGTTTTGCTGTTGCTGTTTCAGTTTGCTGGCTGAGCATTTTTTAAAATGCCTACTGCCTCTGCTCAGCAGTATAAAAGCATGATTGCTTTTTATTGCCATTCTCCCCTAGCACAAGACTGTGTCTGTGTCTCTTGCAGACTTGTCAATCTGAAAACTTCATTTGTAAATTGCCAGAAGTCCTCAGGGCATATTTCTTGCAGTAGTCTACCTTCTGTCTTGCAGGAGAAGAGAAAGATTCACCTTTGGCAGTGTGGGATGGCAGAGAACCAGCCTGCATCCTCCTGTGAGGGTTCTGCAGGGGCTGGTGATAATGTGGTAGGTGGGCTGCATGTTTTCCCTTCTGTCCCATTTTCAGTGGGACTATGACAGCAAGTTTCAGGGCAATCCTATAGCTCAGGGAATTGTATTTGCTCTTCTGGGGGCTGTGGCACTGCCTGAAATCAATCCTCTGCTCATCTCAGTGCTTTTCCCTTCTCCTTCCTTACAGTCCTCTGGCTCCTCATCACATTTTCACTACTAGCTGGTTCTGGGACCTTCTGCTCCTCTTGGCTGCCTGGGCACCAACCTATTTTCAGTCCCATAATTGTCCCTACCAGCCAAAAGAAGCAACCTCAGGAAAAATTTGGCTCAAAACCTGTGATGGAGTATCCTTGCTAGACTGAAGGTTCTAGAGGGACTGAAAGACTTTGTGCAATATACTCTGCTGAAACTGCAGCTCACCAGGCACAAGGAGAGTGGACAAGACACTGCTGGTAAGTGAAGTGTGGAGATGAGTATGAGGATGCTAGAAAATTGCTATGAAAACAGTGAAATAATTTAAGTCTATGGAAGATTTACTTCCCTAGCTTTACTTTAAATTACTTCATATTTGCTTCTTCCCTTAGCTTTATTCCTTCAAACAGCAGAAGCAATTTTGCTGAAATTTCCTAAGGACCCTACTTTTCCACAATCAGAGCATACATTTAAGGGAAAATGTTTAAACATTCCAAACTTGCTGTTTGCAAATAACAGGACGTGATAAGAGACTTTCTGTTGATCTCAGTGGAAGTTGAGGACAAAATGAGAAGGCTGAGACAGAAACACGGGACAGAAACAGAAACAAGGGACAAAGAGGAGAGATCAGTCAAAATGTGTGAGATCAGTCAAAATGTGTAAAATCAGTGAAAGTGACCTGTCCTGTCTTGATGGCTCACTTTTGCTTGCTTTCCTCCAGAAAATGAAAGGTGCCTTTTTGTGCTCTGCAAGTTCAGCCTGTGTCTCACTGAAGATGTTGAGATGAGGGAAGGGAAGGTTGGTAGAGGAGCTGAGAAGGAAGGGGAAAATTTTGCTCATGTTTCATTTCTGTGCTTGTTTCATTTCTGTGCTTGAAACTTGAAATCCAAGGTTCAAATGTCATTTAAAGGATTGTGATTAAAGCTTGGGGTGTTTCCTAAGGGATTTCTGCATACAGAGATGAATAAGGGTGCCACACAGCACTTGCAAAAGGAGCAAAAAAGGATGCGTGCCTAATCCTTATAATTCTCTTTGTAGGTTCTTTTGTAGATCATACTGAGTACCTATCTCACATTTAATATGCCTTTGTAGACCTTATGCAATCCTGTATTCACCAAATTCCTTTGCTTGGTTACAAAGCAGGCAGTTATTTTCAGCAATAAGCAATGAGAACAGCAGATGCTTTTGATCAATATTTCCCCAGAAGAATTTTCATTCCATAAACTGCTTTATCATCCCACTAATGCCAGCAGACCTTCAGGGAAAGCAGAGCACCAGGGCATTGCTAATACTGAGCATTCCCTGTGTATGTTCTGTTCTGTTCTGGGGTCAGTGTGGTAGGAGCTGTCTCTCACTTTATCCAACACAATTCCAAGCTGGTGCCCAGCCACTGAAGCCTCTTTCTATGACATCTTCTCATCTTGTCACTTTTATTTCTCACTTCCCTTAAAAAATGAGCACTTCAGAACTCAGCTGTTCTCTCCTGTTGTGAAGTCTGAATCCAGAAATCATGTAGGTGCATCCTTTTATTTTTTTCTTCCTCCCAGATGCATTATTTGAAATAGCAGAATAACTTTTTTTCCTGAAGCTTTAGATATATCTATGCATCTGTATATCTATAAATTTATATCTTTCCCTATTCTGTGGGCTATTTTTAGATGCTACTGCTGAGTACCATGAGCTACTGCATGTGAACAGGTTGATGTATATTGCCTCTCCTTGTTCCACATCTTCTACTGCAGCTGTAAAGAATGTAGTTTGAAATAAATCTGAGTTACACACATTATGATTACTTGCTAGAGTCAATCAGTTTTCCAAAAAAGTTTTGATTGATTTTATACAAGAAAGTAACTCTCTAGATAGAGGACTAAGTGGAAAGAAGTCAGATTTATTATTGTATTTGTCTGTATCTCTTTATAGAGCTGCCTGAGTCTCAGACACTGAAAAAAAACCAAAGCAAACCCAAGCAAAATAACTGAAAACAATGCCAAAAAAAAAAAAAAAAAAAGGTCTTGAGAAACTACCTAATTACACATTTGAAGATAATAAAGACTGGTGGATGTTTCTTTAGCCTAAAGATTCTCAAGCATTTAGTTACAAGGACCTGGTTCCTCTTGTGCTCTATGAAATGTGTAGAGGCCTTTGGTGATGAAAATCCATGTGGGTTTTGTATTTTTACTGCATTTTTTTTTATGTTTGCTTCCCTAAAAAGTAGCTAGTTTTCTGTCATGTTTTTGATTTGCAATGACAAGCATGTAGATTACACAGTGATGTATAAGATATTAAACTTCCAGGACAGATGAACCCAACTATCATTTTTTACAACCACCTGAAAGGAGGAGGGTGGGCTCTTCTCCAGGCAGCAAGTGAGAGAATCAGAGGAGATGGCCCCAAACTGCACCAGTGAAGGTTCAGATTGGACAGCAGGAAGAATTTTTTCACTGAAAGGGTGGTCAAACATTGGAATGGGCAGCCCAGGGAGGTGGTGGAGTCACTGTCCAGGGAGGTGTTTCAGGAAAGACTGGACGTGGCACTCAATTCTCTGGTCTGGATGACGAGGTGGTGTTTGGTCAAAGTTTGCACTTGATGACCTTGGAGAGCTTTTCCAACCATGGAATGATTCCATGATTTTATGAGTTTTCCAAAGGAGTATTCCATACCATATGGCATCATGCTCAGCATATAAAGCTGGAAAGAGGAAGGAAGAAGGAAGGGACATTTGAAGTTATGACATTTCCTTTCCTCAGTCACCTTATGTGAGATAAAGCTGTGCTGTCCTAGAACTGGCTGAGATGAGCTCAGTTGGTCAGAGCCTGGTGCTCATAACACCAAGGATGTGGGTTTGATCCCTATGTGTGCCACTCACTTCAGAGGTGGACTCGATGATCCTCATGGGTCCCTTCCATCTGAGAATATTCTGTTTCTGAAATTCAAAAATCTGCCTGCTGATGGGACTTAGTGAACAAATTCCTTATTTTGCTCTGCCTGTGCACACAGTTTTTGTCTGTCTGGTAAGCTGTCTTTATCTCAACCCATGTATTTTCTTACTTTCACCCTTTCAATTCTCTCCCCCATCCCACTGGAAGGGAGTGGCTGGGTGTCTCTGTGGTGCTCAGATGCCTGCTGGGGTTAGCCCAAGATATCCTTCCCATTTCATGTTCTTTTACTCCTGTGCAGCTGAGCAATCTCAGCCTGACAAAAGTGCTCTGATGGCTCTGAAGGAGGGAAGTGAAGAAAGGCTGGACAGCTGTAAGAGGAGTGAAGGGCCACAGGAATCCTGCTGGAAGTTGCACTGGAATTTGAGTGTAGCTGTGAGTGTGTTACCAGAGGCTGTTTTGTAAGAAGCTGGGCTGAAACTCCTTTTGGGGAGGAAATAACAAACATGTGGTCACAAGAAGATAGATGCCTGAAGGACAGAAAGTCTGGAGCAACCAGAGGGTGCAAGTTATTTGTGTGGAGCAAAACGGAACTGGATGTTCCCAAGTTACTAGAAAAAGAAGGTGGGAGATGTTGATATGAAGCAGAAGTAAAAGAAAGTGAGATAAGTCTTTATGTAACCTGTACAGAAGCCTCTCCTGACTTCCAAGCCCATCCTAGATGTGCTCTTGTGCTGTTTCTCCATGTCATATCTGTCAGTCCTGCTCTAGCTATCCTAGAATGCAGACAAGAAAGCTGCATTCAGCACTGCACTAGTGGTTCCTCCAGGGTTAGTAAAAAATACACAAATATTTACTTCTACTGCTATTTATGTTCTCATATGAGTACATCTTATATCTGAGTTAGGAAGAAAAAAAGATACACCAACCAAACCATTGTAATCTCTCAGCAAAGTTCTTAATGAGTGTTCCTAGGAAAGAAAGAAAGAAATGAAACACACTATGTTTTCTTCCTTTGTTTCCTTCTGCAATTTTCCAAGAAGCACTGCTCTACACATTATCAGCACTATAAATCTAATACTCCTTAGAAACACTTGTTTAAGAGATAAGAGCCAGGGACAAAAATATATAAAAACTTGATTCTGGGTCTGCAACCACTGCTTTACAACAGATCATAGGAGGGATTTTTTTTCTCCTCTCAGGGAATTCATAGCTTTTGCTATGACAGATAAAAATATTTTTAATAATCTTGCAACAAGGAATTTGGTGTGTGATCCTTAAAACTAAGGCAAGACAAAATCTTCTCTGCTTCAGGAGCATGACTGATCAAAGAATGCATTTGAAACACCTCCAGTGCTGCCGGGTACAATTCCACTCGTTGGAGGCTCATTCTTTTCATATGAGTGCAGAAAAACAAGCAACATTTAATGCATTCATATCCCGTCCCTTTTTTACACTTCGTTTCCTGTTCTTATTATGAAGCATTGTCAGACAACTGGATCTCTGTACTGCATGGTTCATTAGCCCCCTTGCCAAAGCACTCACAGGATTACCAAGAGCCAAGGCAGATTCACTATTTGCACAAACACACACACATGCACACAGGCTATTTAGATGGAATTATTATTTGTAAATTACTCTTAATTAGACTGTTCATCAGTCTGAGTGATTGTGGTCCCCTGTTATAAGTAGCACTAAATTCATCCCTGAAATTCATTGCCATTGTTTGGTTTTCCATGTGTTTCCCCCCACAGTTTCAAAATAACATCCTCTTATTGCTGGAACAGTTGAAAAGATTTTGACGTTGCTTAACCTGGTGTTAACTCCATAATGCTGGCTGCTGCCCCAGTCAGAGCTCTTCACCTTTCATGAGAAGGGAACAGTTTGGGACAAGATCTTACTGAGAAAAAATGGCTCACAGGGACATAAAATTATTGGGATCCACCTTGGCTTGAGTTCCCAGAGGTTTCATACATGTGGCTCCACATCTGCATTCCAGGCTGAGCCTCGCACTTCCAGCAGTCTCTTTGAAAGGTGGCTCCTATCTTAAGGAGGGGGGTTATGTCAGTGTGGCACTTAGACACTTATGCTGAAGGTGAGAGGGATTAATCTGCCTTTGGCATTTCCCATCTCCTAGCATGTGTGCTCCTGGCTTTCATGTGTGGCTTTTATTGATCCCTTTCAGAAAAGTCCTTTCCCTGTGCTGACACTCTGAGCACTTTCCCAAGTGCAAGGTTTCTACTATAAAACCACCCACCAAAATAGGATTTGCCATTCTGAATATCAGTGGCTGAATGAACCTTTGGGAGGTCTTGGCTGGAGACAGAGGCTCAGTGCAGGGAGTGGGGGGAGTAATTTGTTTTTCCTATGGGCTGCCTCATAGAATTTAATGCCTTCTCTTCACAATGCAGTCCCTGCAAGCAGTCCAGGCTCCTGTGTCTGGAAATGACTCTTTGGATCTGGCACCTGCCGAGGCACCTGGATCTTTCCCACCTTTTTCACTAGAAAGTGCCCATGTGATGCCTTTACCCTGGCAGTCAGTTTGCCTTCTTCTCCATCTTCCTTAACAGACTGCACCATCAAATGTTTTATTGTGTTTTTGCTTGTGACATGGTAAGGAAGGAGGCAAGAAGTCTCAGAGAAAAAAAAATAAAATACAAGCAGTCAAGAAAAAGAAAAGGAAAAACAAATCCTCCCACCGAAGCAGAGATCTCAGAGCTCATTTATTTCAACTTTCAACTTACACTGAGATTTTCCAATTTGCTGACGTTGAAAAGTACATTGAATCTTGGCTGAAGTACAGGTTCTAAAACACTTATTATTTTATTTTTTTTAAGGAGAATTTATATCCACAGTTGCACAGGAGACAGATAAAAGAGCAGGCAGATGAAGCCTGCCCTATCCAGGGTGGGGAATTTGCAAGCACTGTGATAAATTTCAGTGGAGAGTTGTTTTCTTTGAGTTTCAGTCATATTGTGCTATTGAAAATCTTCAAAGCTAATTTCCTTGTTGTCAGAACTGAGGGAGGAAGGAGACATTGCTGGGCTATTTACTTCATTGCTACTTTTTCCTTCCTTCTGCTTTCAGCATCTGGAATCTTTCTTGATGATGCCCAGCTTGCCTGACTGTGATACTAAAGTGTTCTGCCAATCTATTCCCTCTCATCAAATAGGACTTCCAGGTGCAAGGAGAACCACAGATCTACTGTCAGATGTGTTCTTCACTCTGCTGTGTTTTAAACTTGCTTTTTCTCCACTTGAGAACTACTTCAGCCACTTGCCATGCATCCAACTCAGCTGAGCCCCAGCAACACAGCAGGAACCAAATATTGGGTAAACCAAATTAAGGGTCTGAGTCACAGTTGCTCTGAGGAGCAAGCTGAGAAGTTATGACTGATCTTTGTGACTTGGTTCAAGCAGTCTTTGTCCACATAAGAAAAAGCACTTGCTGTGCAGTGGTTGCCTACCTTGCCTCACTGCCATTCTCTGATGCTGGGCTTCACAGGGTTAGTTAAGGGCAGCAGGCTTATTTCCCAGTTAAGAAGAAAACTTATTTGTGTTTGCTTAAAGCTCACTTGGATTTTTCCTGACCTTCACCCACTGAAGATGATCAGAGCTCTGCCACTGCCCTTCCTACTCTAGAGTTAATCTCTGTGAGACCAGGGTTTGAAGAGAGGAAGTTGAACCTACCCTACAGTCCTGTCTTTAAATAATGACGTTATGAATATCCTGTAAGACCCACAAAATGTAAATTTCCTCTACTTATATAATTTTCCTTCAATTTGTTCTGCTACTATCATATTCTTATAATTGATTTTTAACTCAACCAGATATGTAGTTCTCCTTAAACTTGAAATGCCTTAGCTCTATTTTTAGATTTTTCTTCTCATGTGCAGCAGGTGCACATGCCCAGGTGCTGGCTCTGGCAGGGGGGTCTCTGTGAGGAGAGTTCAGGCCTGCCCCATATGGGACACAGATGGTCCAGGGGGCTCCAGTGGTTCCACTTCAACCAGTCTGGGGGTGCTGGGGGGAAAACAAGCTCTGGAAAGGCCAAAGACAGCATTGGCAGAGCAGGAGTGAGCAACAGGGTGGAATTTCAGCCCTTAGCCAGGGCTAATCTGATACATCATGACAAATCTATCATGCAATTAAAAACACCTATTAATTTTACTTTGCTTCTTAGGCAATATCTTTCCTTATGATTGTGTGTGCACAGTTCCAGTAGAATTGCTCAGTGTTGGCTCTTCTGTTGGCAACAAAACCCCATCTCCTCAGTGCTGTAAGGTGAAATGACTGAAGATCATTGCTGTGTTAAGGTAAAAGCCCCAGGAAAAGTGAAAGTTTGCTGGTAAAGCAGCTTGTGTAGAAAGACACTCAGATCTCTTGAGAAATGTTTAGCATCATGAATGTTTTTAAAAACATGAGTGACTGACACACCCCTGAGGACCTGACTGGTCTGACTGTCTCTGGGAAGTCTTACAAATGCTATGATGTCTTCAGAGTGCCCTTTCATGACAATATTCCCAATAGGAGAGCATATTTAGCATTACTGTGACTGTCTAAGGACTGGAACAGGTTAACTGCTGCAGCTCTCTCTGTTTCATGTTAATGCAATTTCTTTACCTGACTGCTCATGCTTTCAAGATCAAGGGACCACATCATTATATTGGCCATTTATCTTAATAATTTTTCCCTACAAGCCAGAAAAGCATCTATGATGGCCAGAATTTCTCCTGAAAAGCCTGGAAAACATTCTGCCAGAACAGGTTTTTCTTGCTCAGCTCTCTACCCCAGCTGGCTGTATGGATTAAAGAAGATGTTTTAGGATGCTGAGTTGTTGCTCCTCTTCTGCAGCAGAAGTTAAGGGCAACTGAGGATCTAAGGGGCAGAAGGGTCTCAGTGATGTCAGTTTGTTCCCTGCCAGCTATGCAGGAGATAACAGCCTGGGAAATGTGATAAGCTAAGCTTGAAATTGTGTCCTGCTGC